TTTTTTTGTATTATTATTAAATGAAATTTAGAATAGTCTGTAATTTTTTCAAGTAGTTCTTAACATATTGCATTTGCCTTACAACCTCCTTAAACACAATGAAAGCAAATAGGAACAAAGCACAACAGATTTCGAGCTATTAGAAAGAATGTATCAGAATTCTAGTATATATTTCTACGGGTTGAAATCTTACACACTGTGTATTCCACAATACATGATTTCTGATAGGTTGAAATTCTTATTCTCTGTTCTTATTGTTTTTCATTGTATTTAAGGATTTACTGCTCAAGTTTTTTTGTGTGTCGGAGACTACAGTTGAAGTAATATTGTGTAGCTGTAAGAAATTGATGAATAATAATTGATTATTTTCACATTCGACTGTGATTGATAGTTTTCTTACGACTTCCGACTTATTCATATTATTCGAATTATAGACGGCCCTTTAAAATTCTGTTATTTTTCGAAGAAACTTCTGAATTGGTGCAATGTATTTATTTATAAGTTGGAAATGAACTATATTTTGAGACTTTACTGAAATATTTATCACTTTATTAATCGCTATCTAGTCAATTTGCTTATTTTTTATCATTTTCATCTCGTTTTAAGATACACAATCGACTTTTAGTATACATCAGTTCAGTGCCACTCATTGTGTATCTTGAAACAAGAGAAAAATTATAAAAATGAGCAAATTCACTAAATATTGAGCAATGAAGTTATAAATATTCTAAAGAATTCATTCACTTTTATAATTTTCATTTAATCTCAAGATACACAACCGATTTCTAAAACTTTCTTCGAAAAAGAACAGGCCTTATAGTTATCGACTGGCGGGACGACGCCTTTCTCGCGCCCGACGAGTTCTATCGTCTATCCTCTTCTCTCTTGGACGTTCGTTCTTGATCCATTGCGGTAATTTTCCATCGTCGGTTCGCGCCTCGTATCGTTCGCGACCTCACGGTCGAGACGCTACACATGTCAGACGATCCTTGAATTCCGGCACGACTGTAGTCTGTACAATCGATGCATTGTATCGTCTCCGTTAAGCCAGTGGCACGCGAGGTAATTTTTTCTACTGGATTGCTTGCGTTTTAATGAAATTATCAGAATTTCGGCACAGAACACAGAATTTCTAGTAAGGGGCTCCGCACAATAAATTTCTGGTAGGTTGAAATTCTTGTTCTTTGTTCCTTTTATTGTGTGGAGCCCCTTATTCGACAAAACACAATCGATCCAGCAGGAAAATATGCATCGGGTGCTGCAGTCTTTATTAATTTCGGTCGCCTTACGTTTCCTCCAAGTTAATAATACTTGGTAATACGCGAGGTTTAGGCAAGATTCCAATTATTGCGCATTGTTTTGTGACAAGTATCATGTCATCCGTGACTTTTGGCCGGCCATCAATGACATTGCCCGGAAATTCGTGTTTGTTTAATTTCATTCAATAATAGTTCAAATAGGAGTCTAAACTTTCCGCCAACAATTGGGGTATTTAAGCTTATGTCACACCATGCATTGGAGATGAGGATTGTGAATTGGAGATTATAGGCTTTCTATTATAAATTATTACCTGAGCTTTAAATTTTAAGCTGTAAGAAATTGACTAATTACGGTCGAATATAAGAATAGTCGACTATGATTGGTCAGTTTCTCAAAACTCGAAGCTTAGATAATGACTTGTAGAAAGCCTATTAGAATTCGACCAGTCTGATAATTTTAATTTTAATTTGTTTTGAGATAATCTAAATCTGTAAAAAGTAAGTAAACTATAATCCTACTTCTATAATGGTAAAACACGTTATAAAGCTTTAATAAGCATACCAGAAATTTTTTCAGATTTTTATGTAATACAAAACAACAGAAAGATTTACTTTGCTTCTGGAAGACCCCTATTGCTGACGAAGAGTACAAATTTATGTTGCCGGAGGATTAAATAGCAAAGCGACAAACTGTCTGTTTCTTCTGTTACCCTTACTGGAAAATCAATAATCGAGCAAATGACTCATCGTGTTTTTTGGCTGGCTTCATGAAAATTCGGCATTAAGGAGGCGGGTAAAGCGCACCGTCATACGCTGACGTTATTTCTAAAAATACTGCATGCAAGTATTAACGTGATTGAATACACCGAACGCTGCATATAATGCTATAAATATGTATCAAATTGAATGAATAATAATAATAATTTTTGTATGGGATTTGATGTTGCTTTCGTTATGAAAGTCAAATTTCAATTTTAAAATCTTCATATTTCTGCTCATTTATATGATAATACATACATATACAAAAAGTTCTGAGAGTTTAGACACAAAGAACTAGGGCTTGTATTCCTAAAAGTATCGCGTCCGAGTTTTATCGTAATTGAATGCACCGAAAGTTGCATATAATGCAATAAATATTTATTAAACTGAATGAATAATAAATTCTTATTATTTTTGTATAGAATTTGATGTTGCTTTTGTTATGAAAGTCAAATTTTAATTTATAATACTACAAAATGTATACAATAATACACATATATATTATAGATTTTCTCAGTATTTTCGTAAAATTGGGAATAGATATATAAGTTTCAACATATACGAACCCATGCTAGGAAAAATATGATAAATTCATTGCTCCTAATTTCTTCCTTGTGTTTAATTTCTGGTTTGTTGCATCGGGGCCCTTATTTATTAAGAAATGCTATAAATATCCTTTATCTCTGTCCCTGAGAGACCGAATATATATCCGTCAATCACGCAATGGAAAAAGGTAACGTAGGGAATCGTGGGAAGCGGATGCGTCCAGGCTATATTCGCTCTTCCCGCTCCGTTTGGCACACGCAAGGATCGCAGCGAGGCTCGATACTTTTAATTGAACTGGGCACCTATCATGGAACAAAGTCGGAATGTATTTTCGGAATTATTCCATTTTCCCCAGAAAACACCATTGGTCTGGTTTCTGTTCATGCACTAGACTTCTAGAACTCTCTTTCTCGTTTTAAACAAATATCAAACTTATATCTTTCTCACTTTTAAGTTCCAAAAGTGTACACTAGTTCAGCCACAGAAAACTTAATAGAAATCTAGGAAATAATTGAATAATTTCGATCGGTATCCTGAACATTTGAGACGTCGGCGGGAACGGAACGCAGTTTGAATTCTCCCGCGCTCGACCGGCGTCGCTCGCTATTGGCTCGTACGGCTTCGCCTACGCCGCTCGCCATTGGCTCGCTGCGCTCCGTCTACGCCTATCTTCACGTCGCCGGCGAGCGCGCGATAGGTTGCGGAACGCGCTAGTGCCGAGCTCGGGCGGACGACGCGGCAAGCGGCGGGGACGCCATTACTACCGTTGCGTTTCTCTGGTGTGCGCGGCGTCTTAGATCTTTCCGTTTCACAGCGCCGGGGACCGGCATTGTTCTACCTTCTACCTCGATACTTCGCTTTTTTGCGTCACGTCTGACCAGTCGCGTACGATTCTATTGTCCCGTGAATTCCACGCGGAACCCTTCGTACGTCGATACGCTGTCGTGAACAGTTCAACGCAGGTACGTACTTTTGCGTCGACGAAAAATCGTCGTGACGATCTCTCTGTCGTCGCGGTTCCTACGACGTCCTTTTACACGGAACTACGTAGCCGTGAATGAGTTGAAATTCGAGTCACAAGGCAAGTTCGTTGAAGCCGTAGGAATGTCGCGGCTACGTGTAAATTAGTCGGGGTTATCGTGGGCAAGATGGAGGAAAGGCAAGCGTCGGGATCGAAGTCAAACAATCGCGTCACTCTGATTTCCTTTCTTTCGAGTGGTCGCCCGGTCGCCGAGAAAGGTGCCGTCTCACTAGATTGCGCCATCGGGCGAAAGAGATGGTTGCGCGAGAACTGCGAACGTTGTGGAACGTTATTTTGAAAAATGACGAGAAAACTGATTTTAACGTTTTGGGTAACCTTGAAATTAAATTCTAACGGCCGTCACGATCTTCCAGATTGTTCTGGAATGATTCGTGTTTAGGTTGACGTAGGCCGGCTAGAATTGATGTATTTTTCCTGTGGATGTTTGTAAATATTTATTGTACGAGGATCACATTCCTAGCATCAATATCCACATCCGCCGGTATTATCCGGCTTCCATATATTGCCTCGTTTTAGCGACGCAACGCTATGCGGCGCGGGCATCTAAACTCCCGGCCGAATTCTATGGCGGAATGAAATGGCGGGGACGAGTACGCTAAATGGATTAGCGTCGCTAGATATATCAGGAACACAATGGTGCACACTGCAGATGAATATTTGATTGATACTATACTTAATAATTATTTAAAATTCTTGTCGCGCGAAAAAATTTTCATCTTTGAAGTAATATAATTTATTATTATGGGCCTATAAATATTAATTATTTATTATTTCACATTGACGCCACCGTAAACAAATTTTTATTTTTAATTTTAACGTTCTGCTAAATGTATAAAAGTGAAAATGAAAATGCAATATAATTTTAAGCTTAATTATAAATTTATTATAAGTGATTATATATTTTTATATTTAAAAATTTATGTTAAGCTGCATGGAAAGAGACAAAAAGTGGTATTTCTGTTCTTATGTGTACATCTTTGTGACATTAGGTTCTTGTACGAGCCGCAAAATGCCGGGTTTTAGCAGCGTTGGCACATTTAAAATCTTCATTGGTAATTTAGCCGATAAGACCTCGAACGCGGACATAAAGCCATTGTTCGAGAAGTATGGAAAAGTCGTGGAATGCGATGTGGTAAAGAATTATGGCTTCGTGGTAAGTGTTGTATCAGTTTAATCGAATACTTTAATCAGTACGATCAGGCGATGATATGATTATCAGGATTGATAATTGATAATACAGAGTGACACTTTATTTACGCAGCATATGGAAAATGAAGAAGCTGGTCGAAATGCGATACAAAATCTGAATGGACACATGGTTCATGGTCAGCCGATAAAATGTGAAGCTGCAAAGAGTCGCAAGGGACCCAACACTCCCACGACGAAGATCTTCGTGGGAAATCTTACAGATAACACTAAGGCGCCGCAGGTTCGCGAACTGTTCGCTAAGTACGGCACCGTCGTTGAGTGCGACATCGTGAGAAACTACGGTTTCGTTCATCTTGAGGCAACTGGTGACGTGAACGATGCCATCAAGGAGCTGAATGGTCAGATCGTGGATGGACAACCGATGAAGGTCCAGATATCTACTAGTCGAGTACGACAGAGGCCAGGCATGGGGGATCCGGAACAATGCTACCGATGCGGACGAGGCGGTCACTGGTCGAAGGAATGCCCCAAGGGAGGGATGGGAGGTGGACCAGATAGGAATGGATACAGGGACCGAATGTTTGGACGCGATCCATATCCTCCACCGCCGCCACCACCGTTCCTACGGGACCGGCTCATGGGTGGTGGCCGCTTTGGGGTAAGTTTTTTTTTTTTTTTTTTTACCAATGTTTCTTTCACATACTGTACACAGTGTGTGTATATAAACATTCGGATCATCCATGTTATCGATGAGCTTCATGTTGATGGATAGCAGGTGATTGCAATATGAGAATATCTTATCTTGTATTAATTTTTCCACTGGGATTTCCGTTTGTTTAATAGGATTATGAAAGCTACTACGACAGACGCGGCTTCGAGGACACCAGGGACCTCTACGAGAGGCGGTTTACGGGTATGACAGGGCCCAGTGACATGGGTTCTACCATGTGCGGGCTAGACTTTCCACCAATGACAATGCCACCTCTACCACCAAGACGAGACCCAATGCCTCCTATGCCTCCTCTAGGTATGGGATCCATGCGTGACACTGGCTTCTCCCGTGGTAACGAGTATGGAATGTTCAGCCGCCGATCACCCCCTCCAAGTGGCAACAACGGCCGGTTCAGGTGAGTAGGTACCCGGCGTACCGACTGCCCATTCGTCCGACTTAACATTGTGAACGTTCCAGGCTGGATTAACAGCTCATGCGAATTGGGGTTTCGGTGATTCGTCGACATTATTTCTAGTCTCTGTTGCACATTTTTTTCTTTCTCTTATCATATAGATTTCAGCTTGTATCTCCTTACAGTATATCTCTTTCCTTATTTTTTTATTTTATTCCCATGAAAAAGCGAATGTTAAGTTATGGACAAGCGATCGCGAGTCTTACAATATTCACTTCATGTCTACTTCATTATAAACCTCTGTCGTCCTTTTTCGACATTTTTTTGTTGTATGTACTGCCACTCTTTTTATCTCTTCTGTCTCTTCTTACTTTTCTATCGTCGTATATTAAACGGAACTTCTTCTCTCTGACAATTGTTATCGCGCGGCACAACGCATGATCGTTATCGTCTATGCAAATATTACTTTCTCGTACTTGAGATTTTAAGACTTAATACTTTTACACACACGTACCAGTGTCGACCCGATGCCCACATGAGTGCAGACTCCGTCGTAGTGAAATGTTAATTATATGACGCTTGGACGTTTCTGTACATTCTAAATTTCAGTGCACCTCAGGCGTACCATCTTTGTCCATGAACGCGGGCAACCCTAGAGAGACAGTCCCGGGTCAGCGTTCAAGTCGTACAAGAGTAAGTCTTTGACTCATTTTGTTAGCGAGTAGTCACGCCTCGTTCTTGTCGCTGCAACAACCCGCGTCAGAAATACAATAGCAGCCGCCTACGTCGTCTGCGTCCCATGGTGTTTGAATTTTTTTCCGGGTCTCGACTGATTGTTCCTTGAACATGTCGACTGCTCTTCTAGGGATGTCCTAGTTCATAGACTCTCTTGATCCATGGCATTAACTGCGAAATTGGCCTGTATGTCTCTCACTGAATCCTTTGTGTTTCAAGCGCTCCCTATTACGTACATCACTCAGCCGGGAGTGGCGCGGAGGCCTGGGATGAAGAAACGTACCTAAGGAATGCGAATTAGAATTTCTTGATCGCACTACCGCGAGCCAGGATGCGCTCTGCAATTTTAAACGAAACTCTTACGCTGTAGATAGAGAAAAGAAAGAAAAGCAAACAGGGCTGGCGCGATTTTGGAATGACGCATCGAATCGATTGTCTTTGAAACGTGTCGTAAGTAGAAACCAGCTCTCCAGACGATTTGGATCAGTAAGTTTATATCGGTATCTTCCGTAATCTTTCCAAGTTTCACAAACTTACGAACATAAACTTAATAACATCGATTCGATTGAATCTAACTCGATTCAATTTTTTTTATGCGTAAATACTTTTTTTTTTTAATTGACTAAAATCATGTATACTGTCATTTTAATAGTAAAAGTACTGACCTAACAAATTTTAAAAGATGTTATGTTGATGACAGTGGAAGTATTTTCAAATTGCGCAAATCTTGGGAATATATTTTTCTTCTTTTTTACTATCAGTAAAATGTTGTATATTTTTTTCCTTATGCGGTATATATTTTCAAGTTGTAATGTGAGATTGAATTTCTTGTTTTAGACTATGCAAATCGCTTTTTTCTTGCTGTTTCGTAATTTTTCCTGTTTCATTAAGTAACCAATTACTTCAAATAGATACATTTCCAATTGAAATCGTTTCAGTTGATGTATTAATTTGAATACACTTAGTTTCGTACAAAACAAAAATTATCTTATTAAATCATAAATTACAAAATTATCCTACATTCGGTCGAATCAGAATTCCGCGAAGAGATTGTCAGTTTGTCGCGTGCTTTCTAAAATTAGTATCCATAGCTCTTGAAGTTGACTTCTACTCACGAGGTTCAAAGCTTTTCATGTATGTAAATCCATTCGCAAAACGTTCAAATAGAAAACAGAATTAATTGAACTTCTCAGTTTTTCTAAATACTTTGAATTTGTTGTTGCACGTTACCACCTCATTACCCCATACTATCCCAGCCTGGGCTGCAAATGGCTCTTATTTTTTATAATACTCTTGTTGGTTTTTTTTTTTGCGAGAAGCTGTAATACAAGTCGCATGGGTTAAAAATCCAGTCTACCGCTGCCTGCCTCATATGACTAGTTACATCCCACATTCTCCTGGCCAGCCCTTCACTTTCACGATCGAGTTGTTGTACAGATAGCGAATTAGTACAGATAGTTGTTTGCACTTCGCTGTCGTAGGTTTTTGTAGTTGTTAATCGTCCATTGCGTTTCTGCGCTCAAGTTTCTACGAACGATTATTAATCATGCATCATTGAAGGTTTGTCAAATTCATTTAACAGATTAAAATTTTTCTTTTGTACATACGCCTACACGTGCGCGCGCGCACACGTGCACGCGTTTGTATGTCCGATGTAATGGAGTGATAGGAAATTTTACTGTAAATTTAGTAATTCTATAACCTGCGGGTTATATCCTGTCTATTACATTTTTGTCCCAATTTTTACTCTCTAGGTATAGCGTAATAGACACAAAATATTCCGTCCCCGATCCTGAGTCATATTAGGCGAGGCACGCGAATCTTGCACGTGATTCTATATGTATATACAGGGACTAATTCACAAAGTTAAGCCTTGGACAAGGGAGCCAGTATATGGTATATGTTGATCTGATCTCATTGGTAGATTCGATTATTTATTATACCGCTGTTATAGTAGAGGCATGTACGAGGACTTCAGCCGAGATTCGTTTGAAGAGCGTAGGTAAGTAGAGTGAAGTGCCTGGGATCATAATATTACGTCCAAATTGAAATCCTCACATGTCGCGAGATTTAGAAACAATATTAAGCCGCCCTCTTCTTTATATCACGATCGTGCCAAGAAAATATTTTTGTTTAAAAAAAATTCATTGAACACTTAGATATTCATTTTTACTTTCTTTATACCTTTTGAAATATACTGACAGTAATGAAAATCTATAGCATATAAAAAGTGAGCTGTAGATTTTCAGTATCATCAATTTGGAACTCATTTTATTCCGTATGAATCGTGATTCGCAAGAAAATTTATACAGATCATTTAATAACAATGATTGAAAACACATTCAACGTCACAAGATATTTCAAAATACGATCTTTCATAAAGAAGAGCGCTCGGATAAAGAATTGAATATTCTAATGCAAGTTGCGCGAATGTTTCTACTATCGTAAAACAGAAGAATCAGTAAAAAAAAAGTTTAGCGAGAAAAACGAGGTATTATCCGAGCTGTTTGTCCGCTCCCCTTTTCTTTCTTGATTTTTTTAAATCATTTTTTTCTTTCTTACTCTACTATTTACGATATTTCACTCTACGTACGTGCTCTATTACTCTACCTTTCTATCTTCTAATTTTTTTTTTTCATACCACGCAAATATATTACCTTTAACATTTACAATCTATATCTATCCGTGCTTTGATCCGCATCATCGATCTCGTGACTGACGTGACATAATTTTGGTTACCAGACCGGGATTACGAGGGCCATCGCCGTCGCGCCGGTTCGCACCATACTAAATCGTCGCGTCGGGCTCGGATCGGTCTCTGTCGGTCGTCGGTCCGTCGGGTCTGTCTGTCGCTAGCAGGAAGCCTCGGAACCGAGATTTGGCCGTCTTGCAAACTGCACGCGTGAAGATCTGCCGCCCGCTCTATGAGAAACAAGTGCTCTACCCGCAGTGCGATCTATTTAGACGGAAAAAAAAGCCGAAACATAGCCAGCCGAAAATAGCACAGACATGCAAAAATTATGGAAAATTATCATTCCCCATCCGACGAATCCTCGTATCTTTCCAGAGACTCCCGGCTTGACGATCCTTTCGTATCTCTTGTTGTCTACTGTGACCACTTTCGCACCCCTCCCTCATACATTTGTATAAAGTCAGGTATCTTCGACGTGTCAAAAAAAAGGGATACGGCTCCACTGCGGAGACACTTCTCTATCCTCGAACAGGAAGTTTCATTTTTCCTTCCTCAAAGTCTTTTGCTTGTTTGGGAACTGGACTCGTAGCTCAAATACAACTCTTGCAATTTGTAACTTGTAACTTGTTTAAAAAAAAAAGAAAGAAAAATAAAAAACGTAGGATCAACGAAAGCTTTGCAGTGGAGCCGTATCTCGCAGCGGTCGAATCCGCCGATCATTTTCGGGTTTTCTGTGACGATGACACATCCATCCCTCCGTTGCGTAATAATCGATAGACTCCATAATTACGCGCGTTACGCACCTTTCCGCGGGGACCGCTAGACGAGGTAACAACCGCTTGGCGAAGGTACTGCGTGATATCACTGTAATTCTCCACACACTTGAACACTCGCGATCCGCTATTGTCGATTGTCAATCTCCTACACGACTGCGTCACACGTGGACATCACCGCGCGTTAGAGATAAACGGAACAAAATGGATTGAATACAAACTGCGATTTCACTCAATGCGTCGAACGGATGCGAGATTCACTGTCGCGAGCATTCTTACGTTCCGAGAGCGGTACTCGCGGTTGGTCCCTTAAAAAGAAAAATAAAGATCGCTTTAATTGTGCATGTGCGTTTGTATACATTTAGCGCGGCCTACGTCTTCTCGTTACACCTTCACGAATACGCTGACAATTGTAAGGTCTTTAATTTACATTTCTTTACAAAATTGTTCATCAAAAATAATACACTGCGTATATATGTATATATGTATATGTATATATACGAAAAGGAAATATGAAGAAAATATAATAAAGATAAATTATATTAGGAATATGACGGGTATGCGTCGCTACTTTGCTTTGTGTCAGAAATTGTTTTATCGATTGGTCGGCTCTTAAAGCTCTTAGTTCTCTCTTTTGGATTTTATTAATGTGGTCGAATATCCATCGACGAAAACCGCAACGCGGTTTGTGAAACGGAGATGAAGAGAAAAGTCTCTGAATGAGGAATTTTAGAAATTATTTTTAAAGTATTAAAGTTGAGAACATGCCTCATCTTCCAAAGTGATAGAATTCATGTCGTATTGAGAAGCATTTTATTATTTTTCATATATAATTTATAGAGATGTAAATTGGATTTTTCTCTCTTGCGGTTTTAGCGTATTCTTGAGCATCAAGAAGACGTAGACCGTGTTTAAAGAAGAAAGAAAAAAATAAGCGTTTGCCGAAATCTTTCCCCAAAGGGGGGTAGCGTGCGGGTCTGACCGTTCAGAAAACCTGTTTTCATAACGCTGTTTTCTTCGCTGCAAAAAGAAAAAAAAAGTTATAATTGGACTTAGACCCGGTAGGATGCGCCGATTCTGTATGGAAATCTAAGTGGCGGAACATTTATTCTTAGCGTATAGTAACGTAATCTTTTTATTAACGTAGGATTAATTCTGACGTAAACAAAAAAAGACGTGCTGTAGTCTGTAATAATCGCACTTCCGTTTTGTTCGAGCGTAGAGACTTGCTGTAAGCTTTTTTTCTCCCGTCTACGCTTTTTGTTTTTTGCTGAGAACCGACCGTGTTTTTTTTTTTCTTAAAGATTATAATAAATTATAACCACATGATATATTGCTAATAATGATGCTGAATATAAGAGAAATGTAATAACATGTATTTGTGAAATTCACAAGAAAAAAACGACGTGTACTGCGTGTTTCTTTAATTATATCACACCGACCGCTCTCTCTCTCTCTCTCTTTCGCGGTGTACCCTTTGCCAGCAACAACCATCCAGGAAACCACCCTAAATCCTTCCCTTGTCGCACCACGAAAATCTTGATCGGGTACGATCGGACGCGCGCTTCCATCGCTGGCTTCCTGCGCGTCGTGCGCGCGTTTCCGCTTCTCAATAAAAAAAAAAAAAAATGAAATTCCTCGTCAAAATCTCGATATGAAACGCGCGCGGCGTGTTTGCTCATGTTACTCTGTCTATCTTTGCTGCCATCCTTGTGCCATCCTTCACAAGTCTGATTGTCGATCCACAGGTAGATCAGCGATATTTCCTCCATCGAACAACTCAAACTGCTTCTACTTTCCTAAATTTTTATTTAATTATTGCGATACAGTGCAATCTATATGAATTAATTACAGCGATATTTGGATTTTAGTCATGTAATCAGACCGTCCAATAATTTGGTAGATTAGGGATCAATTAGAGTTACGAGTTGTCAATTACTTAGCCAAAATTAATCAAATTATTTGTTAAACAACCATAATTGAACATGTAATTTGATTGTAATTGCATATGTGAATAATATTTAGATTAGACATCCTGGTCTATATAGACGTCTATATAGACTATATTGTTAATATCATTGGAAATTAGTGTTTCTTCATAATGCATCGAGGATTATTTCACGTTCATGTATCCTGGCTCGATAACTATTTTTTTTCTCAGTTTTGTTAAACAAATTCTTCTCGAAGCCTCACCTGCCTTTCATTTCTGTATTTTACTCTCAATAGAGTGGGAAAAGTAGGAACGAGATGCACATATAATATAATACAATGTAATGTTTTCGCGCTCGTTGGGCATGCAGTCGTGCGTTGATCATTCCCAGATTTCATGGTTTCTTCGTGACAAACGTCAATGGGAAATTTAAATTAGTCACGTGATGCACGCCCGATGTCGAAAAAATTTCAGCATTCGTATATAAATATAGGATGTTTCAAAATCACTTAGAGATATTCTGCCAGCTACACGAATTTCGTGACAAAATTGAGAATAATTTTAAGTAGTGAAAATTTTATAAGTGGCGTTATATTCATACTTCGAATGTATTTCTATAATTTGTGAGAATATAATTTTTTATTAAATTAATTGCTTAAGATGTTTTTTAATTCAAATTTTTTCTAATCTAAATTGCTGTAATTTTTTGTTTTATTTAAAACAACTTGCATGTTTCCTGGCTTGTCTAAAAGGATTATCCGATGATTCTATAACATCCTATCTAATCCAAGTAATATTCTTTGTGCATCTCACGTGTTGCTTTAAACCAACAAAATAAAGGAGATTTTGAACTCAGCAACATTGTCATTTTCTTCAAATCTTTATTATCTTAAAGAAAACAATTTGAAAGTATAGGGAGAGTTTTATAATTTCCCATAGTTCTTCGAAGAATCTTTACATGATCTATGTGTGTCATCTGCTTGTTATTTCGCGAACCACCATCGTATTCGTATCAAATATTAAGCGATCTATTCGAACTGATGCGTTGTTGATTTCCTTCGTTTTTAAGACGATCATACCTTTAAGCATATCTCTTTACCGAGACGTGTCTGTTTCTCTCTTTTCTCCTCTGTAATTGCTTGTTTCAGTCTCAGTAGTCGAAAGCAGGAATTGCAACGGGTTATAGTTTTGTAATGTTCAAGTTTCGATGCTGTGGATGTTGGGAACAGCAATTGTACGGTCTTTTCTCTGAAAAAGTTTGGTAATAGGCACTATAAATGTTGAGCGAAATAATTTTAATTAAATGTTTGATTAATATTACCAAAAATTTAATTTCCTAAATATTTAATAAACATTATTAAACATAAAAATGTAATCAACCGTTTGGTAATAATTACTAAATATTTAAAAAAATAAAATTATTTTTGGTTATATATTAATTGAACATATGATTGAAATTATTTTACTCGACATTTTGTAGCTGTTAACAGATTTTTTTTCAGTGTACCTACGGCATCGAAAGTTGAAGTCTAGAAATTATAACAGCTTTGATCTCTGATTCCTCTATCTCTGTCTTAAAGAATTAAGGGTCATCGTAGCGAGATCCGTCGAATACTAAGTGAAATCGTTCGTTGTATGACTGATGTTTTCAGAACAATTGGCACCGCGGATGAGGTGGTCGCGCACGAGCTAGCATATAGCGCGAATAAGTCGCTTCATCATGCATACACGGATGTGGAATACTAATTCTTCCTCTATATGTGTTAAAACAAGGGAACACTGGGAAATAATATCGAATTCCGATATAAGCCTGCTACGTACCCTTCTCACGTGTTAGTAACAGTACGAGATGAGTACCTGTTTTGTACATTTTTTTGTACGTGATTCACGTGTGTTTTTGCAAGTTCTTATTTTTTAATAAATATTAAAATACGTGCGAACGACGTCTCCTTAAATTGTGACTGAGAATTCAATCCTTTTTCTAGCTGGCTCTCTCGAACTAGGCTGTTTGTTCGTCGAAAGCGATTGTATCGTTTGTAGATTGAAACTCTAACTGAGAAGAAGAAGGAGACAGTCTTCCCATCTTTAAACTCAATTGCTTATATATATATTCAAATATGATATGTTTATTACCTAATTATGAATATTGTAGATATGTATATATTTACAGCATCAATCTATTGACACGACGTTCACGCGTTCTTCCTCTTCTCGGTTAATCTGTTGTCCCTATTCCATAAGCACGGAGGAAAGATTTGCAATCCTTTCGCCGCATTCACATCTTTAGTAGTGCGATTATCGTTCTCTTGCATAAACTTCCGATTAAAGCCAAAGTTAAAGCTGTTTCCAGAAGTATCAAGCGGACACGGAAATGTAAATAGACGAGGGAGTAAATATATTCCTCTTTTTTTTTTGTACATCTTAAGTCGATTTTGTATTATGGTAATACTCATATTGTTATGTACCAGTCAAACTTGCAGACTCAGAGGTTGAGCAGGTCTACAAAATCGGACTTTGCTGAAGATCGCTTTTCCATCCTACCAACGGCAAGACACGGAGGCGACCGGCCACGATCTGTAGCTTATACGCAGTCACTTCTCCTTCCCTCCAAAGTTACTTTAAGAGACATCGTGCAGAATCCTCGGAGATAACCGAGCGAGTCTCTCTCAGAGTGACTTTGGAACACGAATGTGTAGAACCAGGCACGCTACTCGATCATCTCTCCATACTGAGATGTGGTGAGCAAACTGCTGTCCGATGCTATTCGATAATACGTAGACTATTTCGAATCCGGAGGAGTTTGATCGGTGCATAACAAGTGCGTCTACGCCCGTTAACTTTGGCTTCACCGGGAGACCTCGGCGCATGATCGTCGACAGGAACTTATACAAGATGTCTCAGAACCACTAACATCCAACAAAGCTTAGTCGAAAAGTCTACTTTCAAAAGCTTCAGAAAATTAATGTGTCTTTGGCTCGAGACATTAGTTTCATCGACATATAATACTGGAGCATGTGGTGAGATCTCTTTAATCTTTCATTTTGACGAACCTAAGAGAAAAAGGTAAATATATGGACATGGAACTCTTTTTCTATTATTGTCTTATTGATCAAGTTTTGTTTCAGGAAAGAAAGAACAGTAGTGTATTCTACCCATACATTGTTCCATCTTTTTCTAGATCTGTCAAGATGGTTTCGATGCTCCGTCCAGTACTATATGTCGATGGTTTTTAAGTTATTTAAAAGAGATGGAGAGATTATTGAAGATATTTAAGTTTAGTATTATCAAACATTACAAATAATGCTCTCTCATAACTGGTTTTGAGACAGTCTTATTATAAATTACAGCCCATTCCTTCCTTTCTTTTTTTTTTCGTATTGTTGGCGCATATATTTATCCCTTCGCAACTAGCTACCCACTTGGGTGTGGATCCCAGACCCGCGATACGTATGCTTGACGTACTTGACGAGGCTCGAGGTACGCGGGGAATAAGAAAATCTGCGATACCGAGTCGCGCGCGTATAGCACACGCGTGCGGGATAAAAGACTCGGGGAGCATGGAGTCGTCACACCGGGGAGCTTCGTCGGATATATTCGATACGCGATGTATCGCTGTATTGCAAGTACATACTCCCTCTCGAGGATTACGGTAATGTCGGTGCCGCCGGACTAGTCGTCGGATAGCGAAGGTCTGCCCGATGGGTCGGCAGCCTCGCTCTCGTAGCCCATACGTGGACGTGCGAGACTCCGGCTCGTCGTCGTCGTCTTCTTCGTCGTCACATCGCCGTCGTCGTCAGCTTCGTCGCCGCCCTCGCCGCTGCCGTCGTCGTCGCCGTCAACGTCGTCTAATAAAGTCACGCAGCTCGAGTTGCAAAACGGTTCGGGACACACGCTGGCCGCCGAGAAGCTCAACGAGATGACAAGTTCCGAGCCCAGTCTGTAGCTAGATCGCTGAGCTACATTTCCGGACACGCGCCGGCACAGACCCTCGCAGGCGCTTAGAAAGATTTAAAAAAAAAATGTACCCAGTCCCTCTCGGCAGAGTTCTCACTAGAGGCACGTGGAGATCGTGAATCGCCGATCGGATCCGTGCATCGGATTTTTGAGAGACACGGTCGGCACAAGAACCCGGAGAAAAACATATGTACATGTATATAACGGAAAAAAAACCGGACGCACGTCGTCGGGACACGGGTTACCCCTTGATCTCGCGTGATAGAAAACGAACACACACGTGTCGGTCATCGTCGGTTGCCGCATTAACGGAAAAGAGCGCAAAACCGATAGAAACGCGGCAGCAGGGATTGTAACACGCTGTATTGTAATATGATATGTGATATAGGACGTGATAGCCCTCTACGCCGGCATCGTCTACGAAGGATGTACCCTTGAAGGAGCGAGCGTGCCAGGCTCGAGAGACGAGAGGGTTTCAAGTAGAAGCGACGCGAGAGGTCTGATGGAGGAGCGACATGGTGTAGCGAGAGGTAATGTTCATCATAGCACTCTATAACTACATCGAAAGAGAGTGGGGGAGAGTGCGAATGAGAGATGTATACTGTAATAGAGACGCGGAATTGCGCTACCGCATCCAAGACGCGGGTCCAGCCTCTCGATATTGTTCCGAACGCGTAAGAAAAATGAATAAAAGTAATATAAAGAAAAGAAAAAAACGACACGTTAATTCATCCCGCGTGTTCCACCCGAACGCCTTTGAGAGTCCTGTTTTCTTTCTTAGGAAAAGCGGCGCTTCTTAAGGGAGAGCCCATCTCTACGAGAGGAATCTTCTTCTGTAGGGTGCGCCGGACAAAACTGTGAGATCGACATGTGCTTACACACGCCGAATCTCGCCCTAGAGCGGATTCTCGAGAGTCTCCGCTCGACGGGACCATGAAGGTATCGTAAGAACGAATACTTTCCCCGCGCTGCGATCCCTCCCAGTCAACACCAACTAAGAGACCTATTCTGTAATTCTTAATAATTGTAACGTTACTATGTCGTTGCACAGCTTTTTTACCATGTACAAAATCTGCGACTAACGATACTGTAACGCTACAGTTACAGTTGTTAAGAGTTACAGAATAGACCTCTACAAGTAACAAAAATATCTACAAGGTGTTTCCTGTCTCAGGGAAGGTGTTGTAACCTGTTTTCCTATGGGACACCCTGCGTATGTTGTAATTTCACACTCAACAATATAAATATAACACATGATGTTACGTAACAATTAGATTGTTGAATGCGACATTATAACATAGATGTTACTTTTAATTGGTGTCAACTGGGTAAAATCTCGAGAGAAATATCGGATACTTCGATCTCAGATAGTCCTAAAGATAGCATAACATTCGCGGTAATATTGACCATATTTTCTTCAACTCTTATTCATACGAGAGTAATTTTATATCTTCCTTATAGTTCATTTTTCATGACTGTTGCATTAAAAGTTTAATTCAGACGGGATTATAGCGGTTCTACTGTCACTAATTTTATGGTTTTCAGAACACTTCATTTCTCTCAAAAAATGCAACTATTACATATTAGATTACGATCAAAAGCAAGAAATAAATCTTTTTTTATGCATCGAAATAAATTGGTTCTTTCAACATGCTGCCATTTGCGTTCGATAGTGCACATCGGTAAGTATAAGAATACCGAAAAATTTCTTTTTTATTACTCAACTTAAATAAATAATGTACGAGATAAGTATGTTTTAAATTTTTGTGAGCGTCCCTAAACAAAAAAAGGAAGATTCATAAAATTGGAAAACATACTTATAACTCGTCACGTATAATCGAATCTCTATAGCCATATTTTTAACGAATATGTACCATTAAAAAAAATTTGAAGACTTGTTTATTAATTGATGAATCAAAAATTCTTACAAGTAGTGACGTATGAAAGAATTAATTAATTTATTTCAATAATGCAAAATAAAAAAAAATTATACAATTTTCCACTTTTGATATTATAATCCAATATGTAGTGAGAGAAATCTTAATATTAAATATTTTTGTGCTATTCTATTGCTAATAAAAGTAAAGTTATTTAGACGTAAATACGTAACGGTAAGTAAAATTCCACAGGTAAGATAATTATGTATAAAGATAGCTTGCTATCGTATTATTTAATCCCAATGGATCGACGTGAAAAAATAGTGCCGTAAATAAGTTTCGTGTGAAATATATGTTGCAGGATGTCGCCGCTCCATTTGATCCATACAAAACTTTCCAAGTCGACTGACGAGAATATTCAGCGTGTAATTGAGCAATAAAGACCTTTGTCTTTCATCTCTAGAACTCGTTAACTGTCTCGTTAACACATTAAAGCTATTGCGTACATTTGAATTATACTACAAATTTTCTTTTACACGCGTTTTATATCTCGACGTAAAAAAAAAAATCAACGAAATTTCAATCTAGGCAACATAACACTGGAATAAATAATCTTACACGTTTAAATCCATACATTTTTCTCAGTTTGTGTTTTTGCAAGTCATATAATTAAGACGAAACTTATCGCGCAAAGTAATAAAAAAGCCGTTAAACCTTATCTTGTTTTGTATGTACGTCATTAAATCTTTTCTTGGCTAATGTCTGTTTCTGTCAATCAATGTTTAATTTTATTCTCGGTTAAATTCTTTATCTTTTTCTAATTCTAAGAATAAGAAATAAGTCGAAACGGAGATCAAGTTAATTTATTTTTGATAGAAACAGGCAAAACTGTTCCACTTTTCTGAGATAAACTAAGATAATATATCCCAAGGAATACAAAGAGACGATAAAATCTAAAGGACTATTTTGAATTTTAACGTCAATAGTCTAATTTTGTAAAAAAATAATCAATAGTCTAATTTTGTAAAAAAATAATCAATAGTCTAATTTTGTAAAAAAATAATCAATAGTCTAATTTTGTAAAAAAATAATCATTTTGACTTTCACGGCGTTGTAATAAAATCGTTTTGATTTTCTCGACTTGGTATGTTCCTTGGGATCTAAATATAGAGTACAGGAATAATTTTAAGATTATCGAGTATTTTAAGCAAGTATGTGAGAAATGATTTACAATATTTACAAACATCACAGTTTGTAAGTGTACAAATTTACAAATATCACAGAGTTTCCAAGGCGTTGAATATTATGAATTAACATAGGCTGCTTAGTTATGATCTCATTATTCGTTCTTACATAGTTCTTTTATCCCTTCCCTCGATAAGTCACCGCTATGACAGAGGCAATAATTATCCCGAGTTAGAGCGACTTCTTCGATAACAACCGCGAGCAGTCGATACCATTGGATACTTTGAGTTTCCACGCGCGAGAAGCGGCACAGCGGTGAGCTGAAGGCGTCGGTGGCGCGCCTTGCGATCGTAGCAGACCATCCCATCCTTGGCGTGTATTTCCTCGTAATCGCTTGAAAACTACAATTGCGTGGAAATGGCCGAGGACTTACGGTAAGTGCAACATCTAATTTTTCGTAATTTTAATTTTTTTTTTTCTCTATCGAGAAACATTTATTCAGCAAACCAGATGCGTTTTTGTCTTTTCTTCGGAGGTTATGAGTCAGGATTTATTACGGGACAAGGTTAAGTTTGACATTCCACATGGATGCACTCCACTACTCCCGGCGATCGGTGACAACCAATTCGCTATCTAAAAGAAAGGATTGTCTGCAAAGAATGATGCATATATTATAATTTTTGTTTCAATCATAAAAATTGCACGAACGATTAACGAAGTCACTCATGGAAATTTTAGTCGCGTTCGGCAAGAGGAAAGATACAGGTTATGTAATCTTCAAGGTCGATTTTCATAGGCGCGATTTCGTCACCGAGCTTTAAAATGGCATCGCAATACGAAATTGCCGTATGCGTTTTTACTATTTTCTCAATATCGTTTTTCTTATCGAGCTGACTCGAAGATAATAAATTGATTGGCATTATCTTATCGTCGTTTCTCAGGAAATTTTTTATTAATAAAATTGCGCAATGCATATCTAGGATTGCTTTCCTTTAAAATTTAAATGCCCGTTTCTACCAATATAGATTAACTTTAATCTCTGTTTAATTTACTCTTTCTAATGTCTATTTCTACCAATGTAGATTAATTTTTAATCTTGGTTTAACTTATCTTTCTCTGGTTCTAAGAATTAGAAAAGGATAAATAATAAATTAAATCGAGATTGAAGTTAATAATCTAGATAGATTGATAAAAATGGGTATAATTTTTAGAACCAGAAAAACATGCAGAATTTGTTGAACTGAGATTAAAATTAAACTATATTGGTAGAAACGGGCATAAGTTGTAGACTGATCTAGACGAAAATTGCATGGAAAATTGTATCAAATGAACATTTCAGAGAAGGGTTGCTGCTGGGCATGGGAAATCCTCTCCTGGATATTTCAGCATACGTTAATTATGACTTGTTGCAAAAATATGATCTGAAGTCCAACAATGCCATTCTTGCTGAAGAAAAGCACAAGCCTTTATATGAGGAGCTTATTGACTTATACAATGCTGAATTTACTGCGGGTGGATCTGTGCAGAATACTATGAGAGTAGCGCAAGTAGGTAGAATATACACAAAAAATTGTTATTCACTCTCTAAGACTTTTATAAATCTCAGTCTTAAAGATTATAAAAATTGAGCCACTCTTAAAAAAGACTCAATTTTCACTCTTTAGAGTGAGCTTTTAAAGAATGTAGAGGACATTGCCAAATTTATTTGGGTAAAAGAAAAAAAATCTTAAATTTAGTTCTACTGATATAGATAATTTTAATCTTAGTTTAATTTACTTTTCATCCTTTTTTGATTTTTAGAATCAAAAAGAGATAAAAAAAAGAGTTAAACTGAGATTAATCTACATTGGTAAAAATGGGCAAAAGTCATACTATAAATAATCAACGTTTGTATTACAGTGGTTTCTGCAAAAACCGAAAATCACCACGTACATGGGCTGTGTCGGCAAAGACAAATATTCCAAGATCCTGGAGGATAAGGCAACGACGGATGGCTTAAATGTTCGTTATCAATACACCGATCAGGAACCGACTGGGACATGCGCGGTGCTTATTACGGGGAAAGAACGCTCCCTATGCGCCAATTTGGCAGCGGCAAATTGCTTTTCACAGTCACATATCGAAAAGCCAGAAAACAAGCAT